GAAACTACAATTGCTATAATTATTGCAGAAGGTGGAATATCAAAAAAGTATAACACAGTTTAGTTACACAGACTATTTGGAGACATAGAGTGTGATAAATGAATGCTATAATATGGAAACAATAGGAGGCCAATAAGGAGGAATCAAGAGGCTCAGAGAGGGGCTTCCCTGGTGGCGCAGTGGTTGAGAGTCCGTCTGCCGATGCAGGGGACATGGGTTCGTGCGCCGGTCCGGGAAGATCCCGCATGCCGCGGAGCGGCTGGGCCCGTGAGCCATGGCCACTGAACCTGCGCGTCCGGAGCCTGTGCTCCGCAACGGGAGAGGCCACAACAGTGAGAGGCCCGCGTACCGCAAAAAAAAAAAAAAAAAAAGAGAGGCTCAGAGAGAGTTTCCTAGAAGAAGCAAAATGGAATATTTCCATTGTGCAATGAGTTTCTCCCTCCCTCTTTCTCCTATTGTACTTTCATAGCTCTCATTTTACCTTCACATTGGTATGGGAGAAGAATCATATATCTTAATTAAAAGATAGAAAAACAGACCGAAAGAAGTAAAGTGACTTACCTGTAGATTTCAGAGGGGTTTTTAATTGACCTATCATGATATTAATTACATACCATAATTTTAAGAAATAGACGTTTGCCAAAAGCTAAGTCATGGGGGTACTTAGCCTCCTTAATAACATACATATTCTTAAGATAATGATTTTATAATATGTAACTAAATTTTCTATAAGGTTGTGCTCCAAATTTGATACACATTACCATCAATACATTTTCTGAGGAGAAATACTGAAAAATCTTACCACTTAGGAATGTCAGTATTTTTGTTTCTAATTGCCAGAAATGCAAACCTAAGGCAGATATGTCATTTGAGACATTTGTGAAACAATGATGGTTAAACATTAAAAACATTAAAAAAAAGAAGTCATACCAAGGCTGCAAAAAAACAACCCTTCAAAATAATCTCATCACGTTTAAATACTGTCATTTGCATTTACTAGCTAAAAACATGAAATTAATGTGAGATGCAGTGTGAAGAATTAATGATTAACTACTAGTGGAGGTTAGCTTTTTAAATAAAGATAAAATAAAATGGCCCTCAGAATTCTATGAGAGAAATCAGAAGTGATGAAGCTAATCATGTTTCAGATGAAGTGGTAAAATTTTAGTTCCAAACAAAGAGTAAAGAGGAGGTTTCAGCTTGGTAGCATGCTCCCATCACTGCACTAAGTGGGGAGATATTGAGCAGGAGAGTAGCTTTGGATCTAAGAATATTCTGATGGTGTTGGAAAGACTGGAAAAGGGAGATGCTGGAGGCAGGAGGGCAAGCCAGAGGCTGCTTCAGCCATCAAGTATGGGATGTAGGTGGCAGCAGGGGTGCAGAGGGAATGACATGGAAGCTGTTGGGTGGGGGAAATTGACAAGGCTTAGGGTCTGCCTGGATGTGGGAGGCTCAGGAGGGGAAGGAGTTCAAGTGACAGCATAAGACTTTCCAGATGGTTTTCAGAGCAGCTGAAAGGAACAACTTGACATAAATGTCCTACTTTTAGACCAACCATGAAATAGGTCCTAACCTCCAGCAAAGCCTTCAGAAGCCACTACCCTGTCCTTCTGAAAGAACTTTCTTCTACCTTAGGCTCTTGAGAAAAGAGCCCTAGTTTAGCATTAATGGTAACTTTAACTTGGAGAACATGTAGTTTTATCACAAGAATTCTTCAGTGGAAAAATATAATCTTTTTAATAGCATTTGTATCCTGTTCTTTCTTCCCTAGCTTTTTATGAAGGGAATGACTTGGGCTTCTGTTTTCCTATCTGAAAACTTGGAATAACAGCCCCTGCTTCAAAGAGCCACTCTCCGGCTTCTGAGATAATGATGCATGTGCCACGCATACACAGTTTGTAAGGAGGGTTATTAAGGTTCCTCTACCAATCAGATATGTTCTATGTGATGCTGGTGGGTAACAAGGAGGACAGTAGTGGAAGTTACTGGGGGACAGATGTTGCCCCAGGGTAAAGACAAAGCTTCTGGGATCCACAAATTGCAGAAGTTGAGAATAGCCACCTAGAGAGACAGCAAGCTGCAGGCAATGAGGGTGTTCTACCCAAACGATATGGTAGAAAAGAGACTTTCCATCAAGCTATGGCACACATGATAGATGGTGGCCTCATTCATCTTCATGGGTTTACCAGACCAAGTTTATATATAGTTATCTGTCACTTCTTCCCTTCTAGGAAAGAGAGCACAGCATAATTCCAGTGAGTGAGAATGTTGCTAATTCAGCAGTAATTGTAATGGGTTAACATTTGTTTAACTATCTATCAATCGCTGGGCACATAGGTGCTTTATATATGTTCTTACATTCGATCTGTGGGAAAAGGCTGTGAAACTAGGTTTATGGCTAATTTGAAATAGGCTCCTGCCTATGACTTCTCAGCTAGCAAATGATGAAGCCAGGGTGGAAACACATGTTTGCTTCCCTCACAGTGGTGTTTCCTGAGAAGGAAAGGAAGGGGAGGAGGGAGGGCAAGGCATGGGGAGGAGGAGAGCATTCACAAATATTAGCAGAGCACCTAAATATTATCATCCATAAATCATTTGGACACACACCACAAATGAAAAGCACAATGTAGAGAAGTAATTTTCACACTCTCATGCTTTTCCACAGAAGTGCTCCATCTGCTTCAGACAGTGACCATATGCCCCCAGTGGCCTGGGAGGTAGCCTGAAGAAACATCTTTATTTTATTCCGTAACACGGCCATGACTGTTTAATATAAAATGTACCTCCATATTTTAGAGAAAATTAATGTACAGTAGAATGCATGTCATCTTTATCTTGTACCTTCATGTTTCCCCTGGGAACATCACTCTTCCCCCTGCCACAATATTCCAGCTTTAGAAGCATTATCTGAAAATGTGTACATTCATTAGTCTAGAGGTGGTTAAAATATCCAGTAAACTTTTTTAAAGGCCTATAATTATATCAACAAATTAGCATTTCAGAGGTTTACAAGGCACCAGTTATTCGTACATTCATACATACAGTATCTCAAGATTTTTATGCATTTCATCCACTTAATTTTCATTGACAGAGCACTGCTGGAATCCCCAGGGACTTCTGGTCTACCCTCAATATTCCTGTCTGCTCCACCACTGCTGAAACAAACTCTTCTTTGGATAATAAGCCCAACATTCTCAGGAAGGCTGTGTTCCTCACCAGCCTCCTTCAGTGCTCATAAACTCCAGCTCATCATTGCGTTGAGAGTCAGGAGACATTGTCTGACTGTTGTCGCTGCACCTGCTATCTTATTGGACTTATCCAGACAGCCCTAGCTCTCAGAGCAGCTGAAACAACAGATGGGCAGGAGAACTTGAGATGTTTTTGACACTGTCCTTTTGTTTATGGAATCCCCCCTCACCCCAACTCTGGAATCTGATAGGAATTGTCTTCATGACCATTTTGTGTTTTTTCCCATGACACATTTTTATTATTAAAAATTAAGTAACTGGTGCAGAGGGAGATGAAAGAGAATAACATTTCCTTTTGAAATGGTCAAAAAGGAAATGAGGATGGTGATTTGGTCATGCGGATAAATATACCTTTGCCTTGGAAGATAATTGGCAGTAGCCAGATTCCTTTGATGGCAGGGGAATTCAAGCAGGGAGATGAGAGGGGCTAAGAAGGGGAGGGGGGTAATCTGGTATAAGGTTGAGTGTGAGGAAGGTAGACCAGGCATTGCTCTAGGAGGTCTTGAGAGCAAAGGAGAGACGCAATCTAGGCAAATTGGAAAGCTAGCAGGAACCAATGCCTGGAATTGCGGTTCCAGGACAAGATGCCCCTTTGTAAGGAGTGAGATTGTTAAAACAAACCTGAACTAGGGATTAGGGAGGCAGACTGCAGGATATAATTTAATGTCATGTGGTTGTAAGCATTCTGCTTGATCTCTCTATGCCTCAGATCCATCATCTGTAAAATAAACATGAAACTACTAGTACACATGTAGTATTGTTTTGGTTCTCAAATGAGAAAACACATGGAAAGTGCTTGGCCCTGGTCCTGACATTCAATTAGTAGACGCTGCTATTATTATTAATTTAGTCAAGAGTGAGAGGCACAGGGAGGAGCAAGTGGAAGGGAGATGGAGAATCACTGGATGTGAAACAGAAGGAAAGGGCTTGCTTGCTTGTAATGGGGTTTCTGCTCAGATCTTAAAAAGAGGGCAGTAGATCAGACAGTGCCCACAGAATCTCGCATGGTGCTTTCCCACCTCTGTGCCTTTGCTTCTCCCATTTATTTTTTCCTGGATGGCATTCTCCCAAACACCTTCATTATGGGGCACATACCATACAATTCTTATCCACCAGGGTTATTGTAAGGGTTAAATTAAAGATAAAAAGTACCTAGTAATGTTCATGGTACTGTGTCATTTTAGGGACATTTAGATGCTACATTTTAGTGTAGTCCATCATGCATGGGAGAGTGCCTTAATCACAGTAGACATGAAAAATTCCTGGATAACTAACTTATATGTGGAATCTTAAAATATGACATAAACGAACATATCTATGAAACAGGAACAGACTCACAGACATAGAGAACAGCTTTGTGGTTGCCGAGGGGGGTGGGGGAGGGAAGGGTTAGGAGTTTGGGATTAGCAGATGCAAACTAGTACGCATAGGTTGGATAAACAACAATGTCCTACTGTATAGCACAGGGAACTCTATAATCTCCTGTGATAAACCATAATGGAAAAGAGTATGAAAAAGAATATATATATGTATAACTGAGTCACTTTGCTGTCCAGCAGAAATTAACACAACATTGTAAATCAACTCTACCTCAGTAAAATTAAAAAAAAAACAAATAAAATTATTGGATAATTAAATGTGCATGTGATATCAAAAACAAGCAAGACTGGTAGACAGGTACTCAAGGGGATCCATTTTGTTTGTCCCCAGCCTCGCATCTGTATAGTTAATAGTCTTCTTTATGTTTTCCAGGGATCTAAATCTTGGCAGCGTGTACCAGTATTGGGTCATCACTATTTCAGGAAACGAAGAGAGTGAGCCATCACCTGCTGCCACTTACATCCATGGAAGTGGGTACTGCGGTGATGGCATCATCCAGAAGTAAGTAGGCCTAACTAAAGAGAGGAGTGGGAGCGATGTTAAGTAGGCCAAGACATGGTCAGGGTGCCAAATAGAAGAGCTTACGGGATACCCTTCAGGGTTGAGCTGTGAGTTACGAGGGATCCTCAGCAGTCTGCCAATTTGTCTGCAAGCAGCTCGCTGGCCTCAGAGAAAAGCAATGATTCTTTTTTGAACAAACACGTTTCTCAAGCATGTAATACAATATAAGATTTCCATAGAGCTACCATTATGCACTTACTACCAGTATGCTCTTGTTCTATGTGTACTACAAGGATTCTATTAGTTTTTTCCACCCCAGGCCACATTCACTTAACAGGACACAGTGCACCTAGGTTCAAACACTTTTACATTCTTTGCTAGTTACCATTTACATTTCTTAAAACTGCATGTTTATTTATTATTTCTGTCGTATTGTGTTATATCAACAATTTACAAACTGGGTCAGAGCCTTATAAAGACAGCAAAATATTTCAACTCTCTATAATGTTGAAACCGTGATGGTAAACAGTACTGCAGAGTGAATATTGAATGTGATTATAAGTTCAGGGAGGCAAGTGTAAAGATTCCACACGAGCAGCCAAAAAAGGAAAAGTGTGATTAGAAGATATAAAGCTGTGTGTCTAAAAAATGGATTTTATTGGATCATCAGTCCATCCATCCCCTGTCCACAGGGCAAGATGTTATACAACTGAGAAATAGTTGCAAGAAGCCATCAAGACTTTTGCATTGTTGGGGAAAAAAAAGTAAATCTTTGAGGTTTTTTTCCTCCAGAATAAGCACAGAAGTATTTTCGGTCACTAAATTGAATGGTTTTCTTCCTAGAGATGAAAAAGAGACCAAGAATCATGCACAATTAAGTTCCTTATTGCTAAAATTGTGTTCTTTATTGTGAATACAGTTACTAGTCACACTGTTGCTAAGGGACTTTTAAAACTATTGGCAGATTCAATGATAAATGTTACGTATGGAGATGACACAGCAAGCTATTGGCAAAATTCCTTCATTAAATGGCACTGTTGGGTGTCACGTAATATCTGTGCAACATGGAATTGCAATGACTTTTTCTGTAGGGGGAGGGGCACTCTAAAGAGAATTTGTTTCACAGTTGGATGAAACCACTGATGTACAGAACATGAATCGGCTCATAGGTATAGTTCATATATGAAAGAGAAGGGCTCGATGACTATTTCTTTTAGTTTATCATTGACACTAGTGCTTGAGGTCAAGAGCAATTTAATTTGGTACTGATGATTTTGCGGTGTGTAATATACACTGGAAACCTGCTATGGAATGAAAGGACCAGATAGGAACACAGCAAGGATGACACAGTGACGCAAGGAAAGAGTTTGTACAAGAATACCCATCTGCACAGACATCTGTTATTGGCCAGCAGTTTGCTTTCTGGTCATGACTCAGCATTGAAGGGAAAAGTAGATGTCGAGAATATGATCAGATGCGGGCCAGTGAGTTACTTACTGTGCAAAAAGATAACAGTATGTGTAAGATTCTGCACCCCCATACACACTGAAGTATGCCAGCTGTTACGAGAAAGGTACTAAGTCAAGTTTCTGAAATAACGAATTACTTTTTTTTAATGTTGACATTGATAAAGGCCAGTAATGATTATTTGCACAATTTCAAGTGGCTTGCTGAAGTGATGTATCTCAGGGATATATATTCATGTCTTAAATGTCCTGCATGTATAATTTCAAAGCTGAATTATCTCAATTTCCATATGGAGGAGATAATATAAGGATTTTTAAGGGTTGAATTGTGATGCAAACCACCTGATTGCCAAGAATTTGACTCCTCAAGCATAGAAGATAAAACTCCTCGCTTGTCAGAGAATGAAATTGATGGCGTGCTGTCATGTGTAAGATCCTCCTCCAAATGCAACAACCAAACATGAAGATATGGTTTCTGGTGCTTAATGTAACAAAAGTGGGCAAAGGGAAGATAGTCACTGTTTTCTCTCACATTAAGACATCGACTTCTAGCTTTTTTTTTTTTTTGTGGTACGTGGGCCTCTCACTGCTGTGGCCTCTCCCGTCGCAGAGCACAGGCTCTGGATGCGTAGGCTCAGCGGCCATGGCTCACGGGCCCAGCCGCTCCGCGGCACGTGGGATCCTCCCGGACCAGGGCACAAACCCGTGTCCCCTGCATCGGCAGGCGGACTCTCAACAACTGCGCCACCAGGGAAGCCCTGACTTCTAGCTTTTGATGCAGCTGTTGTCTGATGGAACCCTGAGCACCTGAGTCTCCAGGGAAGGTGCCCTATCATCTGTGGGTACAAGACTGAGCTACGTATCCAGAATATCCAGGAAACAGTCACGATCATTGCTGACAACCCATAATTGTGATTTGGGATTTTCTAATTTAGCACGAGGAATAAAAAAAGAAACTCACTAGGTGTAGGAAGTGATCTATGGTTCAGTCTATCCATTTTGGAATCAGATATAGGTGCACTGGTGAAACACTGCAAACAATATTATTCTTCTCAATGATCTAAAACTACTACTACTACTAGTAGTAGTAGTAGTAGTAGTAGTAGTAGTAATTTAAATAGTTTTCTTAACAAAGATTTTTAGTATTTTTTCACCTAGAATTACTATCCTGCATAGACATCAAATACGTGTTGAATTACCTGCAGGTACCAAATAGGTGTCGACATACTTGGTAGAAAACTGCATGCAGCTTATGGATGATTCCCTAAGCAAAAACAAAACAAAACAAAATAAACTTTGAAGGAAAGAAAGGATGCCGTCTTCACTAACTGGATTTTTCATGGGATGATACACGCTAATTTACTGTACATATGCAAAGGAATTTACAGCACTCAGTGAGGGCCCTGATGAATGAAAGCACTGGATGAGTCTTGTAATGATAATTATAAATATTCATGGAGACTCTACTGGGCAGGAGGCACTGTGCTACATTATGATCTCCTTGGGTCCTGCCAACAACCACGTGAGATAGGTCTTATTACCATACTTTACGAAAGAGACAACTTGCACACAAAGACTAAAATGGTTCTCTGAAGCTTACACACCCAGTAAGGAGCAAAACCAAGATGTGAGCCCAGGGCCCAGGTTCACATCTGGATTTACCATTGCCTTGCTGTGACTGACAGCCCTGCAAAACTGACAAGTGAAGGAGTAACCACATGCTATCGGCTCTGTCCCAGACACTGTGCCAGGAGTCAGGGTGCTAGGATGACAAAGCCTCTGTCACGTCCTTTGGCATCTTAAAGCCTAGGATAGAGTGCTCTCAAGTAACAGGCAAAGGCAGTCAGTTTGACAAGTGCTCTGATAGATGGAGCCCCTTGTCTTTGGACTCAGAGAAGATGGCCACCCACTCCAGCCTGGGAGGTCAAAGAGGGTTTCTCAGAACCTGTCTATCTAATGATAGATCTGTCATGCCTAGAAGATATTTGTGGTGACCCTAATGTTTTGCTTAAACCAATAGAACATATTGTTTGGGTGGTGAGGGAACGGGTTAGAAGTGTTCTTTGTGGCTTAGGGAAACCAGCCCAGGTTAAAAAAAAAAAAAAAAAATCTCTCCCCAGATAACCCACAAAATAGCTAAGAAGCACAAGGCCACCACCAATTTCCAGTGCAAGATTTGCTGGCAGAGACTGGAATATGGGCCCAGCTTGGAATATATCAGCAGAATTCTTTTCTCATGGGTTTGCAGACAGGAGAGAAATTGGGTGGCTCTTCAGAGATCAATGCAATGTCCTAGTCATTGTAAGGATTGATTACAAGGCACCGTCCTGCTACTCTGACACCTCCTAAAAGCAACAAACATTTCCCAGTGTAATTGCCCGGGTGAAAGGCAAAGTCTGAGGCTTCTTCCATGCTGGGACAGGTCCCAGCTGGTCTCTGGGGATGAAGGGGCAACTGCCACACACTCTGAGGAGACCCCCCAGGACAGGTGGGTGGGCATGGGAGCTGTGACTCTCTGAGCATCTAAACTGTATGTCGCACGCCAGGCCAGCCGCATTAAGTTACGTTCCATTTTTGCACCAACGCTAAGGAGTAGGTGTAATTATCTCCATTTTAGCCCACGAGAAGACTGAGATTCAACGCCCCGGACAGCACTGTCCAATGGATTTTTCTGCAATACTGGAAATAGGTTCTGTGCTGTCCAATATATTTGCCACTCCCTACATCCAGCTATGGAGGACTTGAAATGTGGTTAGTGTGACTAAGGAATGGAAAGTTTAATTATTTTTTATTTTAATTGATGTAAATTGTCAAAGAAATATCAGGGAGAGAGAGAGATTAAGGGACTTGCCTGAGATCACCCAGTTTGGAACATGGGGCTCTAAACCCAAGTTTCTGTTACTAAAAGGATGGGAGGGACTTCCCTGGTGGCTCAGTGGTTAAGAGTCCGCCTGCCAATGCAGGGAACATGGGTTCGAGCCCTGGTCCGGGAAGATCCCGCGTGCCGCAGAGCAACTAAGCCCGTGTGCCACAACTACTGAGCCTGCGCTCTAGAGCCCGCGAGCCACATCTACTGAAGCCCGCACGCCTAGAGCCCATGCTCCGCAACAAGAGAAGCCACCGCTATGAGAAGCCCATGCACCGCAACGAAGAGTAGCCCCCGCTCACCGCAACTAGAGAAAGCCCGCATGCAGCAACAAAGACCCAATGCAGACAAAATGCAGATAAATAAATAAATGGATGGGAGTTTTCCAGAAAGTGGTAACCCATCCAGACTTTCAGTTGTTACTCCTCCTTCCCTTTCCCTAGGTCCAGTTCAGAGAGCATTGCTCATTTTCTGCCCATCCTAACCACTGCAGAATCATCCTTAGGTGACGGAAATAATTCCTCAAAATAAAACGAGAGGAGGCATTTTTATTCCTTAACAGCATAGGACACAGGCCTTAGAGTTCTTGACACTATGAAATGACACACCCAATGGAGAAGGCAGTGTTTTCTGATCTAAGGAAGATCAAACCTGAACACATGGATGGAGAAAATCTTTACCTTTAAGTGCACTGGGGGTATGGGGATAGGGCTAACGCAGGGCATCGTGAAGAACAGCAGTTGTACCTTAGAGACTCCAAAATTCTCTTCAAATTCTCAATTTTAAAGTGGAAGTGATGGGTCTTCCCTGGTGGCGCAGTGGTTAAGAATCCACCTGCCAGTGCAGAGGACTCGGGTTTGAGCCCCGGTCCAGGAAGATCCCACATGCCGCGGAGCAGCTAAGCCCATGCACCACAACTACCGAGCCCGTGTGCCATAACTACTGAAGCCCGCGCGCCTAGAGCCCATGCTCTGCAACAAGAGAAGCCACCACAGTGAGAAGCCCACGCACCACAACGGAGAGTAGCCCCTGCTCAATGCAACTAGAGGAAGCCCACATGCAGCAAAAAAGACCCAACACAGCCAAAAATGAATAAATAAAAATTTTAAAATAAATAAATTTAAAAAATAAAATGGAAATGTGATTTCCCAGACACGCTGGAGCAAAGTCTGTGCATCCATTTGTTCATTCATCCTCCTGTTACTCCCATCTGACTTGCTAACTTAACTAAGGAGATCTCACCAAATGGGTTTGAAGCAGGACTTCTACTTTGTCATCAGAAACACAGTAAGGCAAACATAATAGAATCTCACAGATTCACCTTGTACGCATCTCATTTGGAAGAAACAGAAAACTCAGACAGGGAAAGGGACTTGCCCGAGGCCTCACCAGAAAGTTCCTGACCCCGGAGAGGGACTTTTCCATGTCCAGCTGTGGGTCTGAAGCTGATCTGACAAATTTCCCCCTCTATATCCATTCTGCAGAAGCCAAGGTGAAGAATGTGATGACATGAATAAGATCAATGGGGATGGCTGCTCCCTTTTCTGCCGACAGGAAGTTTCCTTCAATTGCATCGGTAAGTCCTTGTCCTTTCTCTGGGCCTGGCTGGAGAAGTGGACAGTGCAGAATGGCTAGTCAGTTACAGTAACAGCAATAGTTGTAACTAAATGATAATTCACTCCTTGATATTACACATATTTATTGAGTACCTCCTAGGGGGCCGGGCACTGTTGTAGGTACTAGTGAATGCAGCAATGGAAACAAACAAATGGCAGGTATCCCTGCCCTCATGGAGCTTATGATCTCATAGATGATGGTGATGATGGGCAACCCTTTTGATCAAGCTTTACCTTACATACATTATTCCTTTTCTTCATGCCAACTTCCAGGTTAATTATTAGCATAGATTTTTAAGGCTTTTATTCTTACTTTAGAGATGAGAAAAAGCAAAAGCCAGAGAGATTTTAAAACAGGTCCAGAGTCACACAGGTTAGGATTGAAGACAGAACCAGGACTCGAACCTGATTTTGTCCGATTCTCACACACAAGCTCAGTTCATTTTGCTATACAGCCTCTAGCCAGGATCTAGTCTCTCTGACTTGAGGAAAGAGAAATAACAGACCAGCAGACCAGCAGACCAGCCTGTGTTTAGAAAGCAAATGTCCTTTTCCCACCTTTATGGAGTCAGATGGGAAATTTGTTTTCCTCTGCCTTCCCCAGGAGTCTGGCTGATCTTGTTGTTTTAGCCCCACTTGGGAGGCCCTGGTCAGCCCGGGGCTGGTAAACAGACGGGGGCTGGGGGGCAGGGATGGAATTTTGAGCTGGCCCAGATGAGATCATGCTTCCTTTAAGATGCAAATCGATACCTGAAGATCAAAGGTCCCCTGGCTAATCCCCTGGGCTGGAGGTGAAAACTAATCACAATTCATTTGCAAGTACAAAAGAGAGAGGTGTTCCATCTAAGGAAGGGATGAAAACGTCAGTGGGAAGATTTCTCACTGAAAGGCAATTTTCTAGGAGGACTAAAGGGGAGGAAATGTCATCGGTTCCTCGCGTTTGCAGCACATTGCAGGCGAGCTTTTAGACCTTTCTTCCCCTGGTATATATTGTGAGCTTTGTGAGGTTTTTACCGTGTATCATTTACCTTGTATTCCATTCTCAGACACATTTATTGAGCACCTACTATCTCCTTGGCACCACGTGTGGGCTGAGCAACACAATAGAGGTGTCCCGAAACTGTTCGTGGATGGAAAGAAAGGAAGATGTGGAGGGAGGAAGAGCAGGACAGTTTCCGGTCAGGGCCTTGGGTTTTTAAAGGGCAGAAGATTTTTTTTTTCTCTCTCCTCTGTTGATTTGAGTATGATTCATAATAAAACCTTGATATGAGCCTAGTGGTAGGGTGGAAAGAGCCTTGGACTAAATTTAAGAAAACCAGGATCTCTGGTCCCAGCTGTGCTGAGAACTTGCTGCTTGAAGCTGGCCAAGTCACTTCCCTAGACTGGACCTCAGTTTACCTCCCATAAACTGAAAGGATTGGGTTAGGTGGTCTCTAAGAGCCTTATCTGCACTTCTGTTGTATGGTTTCCAGAATGTGTGACGATTTCTCAGAATCGTGAGTTCTGCTTGAACCACCTCTTGCCTTTGCCATCATCCTCATGGCGCCCAACATCACTGTCAGATGTTGCTGGAGGGTGTCCACCTATTTTACTGCCACTAAGATGGCACGTGACTTCAGCGCTTATGGGAAGAAGGTACGATGTGGTTAAGTTAGGATATGGTACTGTCCATGGAACAGATCTGCCAATTACAATCCTTGGGCCAGAACTGGCCTACTGCCTATATTTGTAAATAAAGTTTTCTAGAACACAGCACACCCATCTCTTATTATCTATGGCTGCTTTTTTGCTACGACCCTAGAATCGAGTGGTTGCAACAGAGACCCTGTGGGCCAAAGAGCCTTAAATATTTACTATCTGGCCCTTTACAGGCAACATTTGCTGGTCCACGGATTTGCGGGTCACTGATACTATTGGTTGCTGGAGCCTAGCGCAAAGAGGAGGTGAGAGTTATGACATGGTTCACCATTGCTTAGAAAAATAACTGAATTGTATACATACAGTGGTAAGGCTTAGGAGACTGTGAGTCCAGCCCTATCTTGCTTTAGCTCTTTGGGTATTCCTTCCCCACCTACACTTTGGCCAAAATGACTGGAATAGATCATGATTTTCAAGCTGTGTTAACTGAAAGGCTTAAGAGGAGAGGAGTGAAGATGAGGGAGTTACCAAGAGGATGAGACTTGGAGCCTCATACATCCACTTTATATACTGTTATTCTGTAGTGCATCCTAAGCGTTCTGCTGCTGCTGCTGCTATGTACTGAACACCTGTTGTATGCCGAGCACATTTATAACTCTCATTCTCCTAACGACCCTTTTAGTGCCTGCTTTTCAAAAGAGGAGGCTGAGGCATGGGGAAGTGAACTAAGGATATGCAGTGAGGTGGTAGAGCTGGGACTTCCACCCAGAGAGTCTGACTCCAGAGCTAACTGTGCTGAGCTTCCTGCAAGATATTTTTTACAGGACAGCTCTTGGTCTTGTAGGGCTTTGGCGGTGAGCAAGGAACATACTACTGTGGAGCAATTCGTGTAATGAATTAATGGAATGGAATACAGAACTGTCGGTGGTGTGGATGGTGTCCAGGGAAGGCTGTCTGTTCCCCCTGCGTATTGAGTTTGGTTGTGTTAGACGAAGGACCTCAGCTATGCACCCCCCAGCTCACCATTTAGAATTCCATTAGAGAGACACAGAGATTCAGGACATTCCAGGAAGAAAGGAGTCTGTCCAGAGATCCCATTGCCTAGGAACTATATTCCAAGGACGAACTCCATGGCTTTGAGTCTAGAAAGGCATCTTCCTCAAAGAAGAATAGTTGAAAACTAGACAGTGAATCTGTGGCTCCCAGAAGATCCAGGTTTAATGAGTCACAGAAATGAGACTGGAGTGTGGGAGGCTTGGCTGGGGTGGATGCTGTCCTCATCTCTGCATGTGTCAAGACGGTGATCAAGATGGTAGCCGAGAGGACAGGCTTGAATGAGACTGACTTGGGTTGATACATGGCTTAGACGTGGGACCTTCGCTAAGCTTCAGTGTTCTCACCCAGAAAATGGTAACCGTCCTGGGACTTAATTGTGGAAGATATTTACCAACGTTTGTGGACACTTACTATCTGAATCCCTTTCCTAGATTTAGGAAAAAACTCTCCTTGTTGTAATAATAGTGAGGCAGAGCCCCACGACAGAAGTTGGTCATGCAAGCATCTCCTCCTCCCAGCCTCCCTTTGTAGCTGAATGTGGGCATGTGACCTACACTTTCCCCCTGACCCCCAATCATACACACCAACCCAAGACTGAATCAGAAGACATAGGGACCCTGCAGAAATCATTTTGATGAAGATGGCGGGAGTGGCCACAACCCATGTGTTTCCAAAGTACCAATGACAGCATCTTGTATTAGTGCTGAAATGACTTTGTGTGGCCACAGCTCTGAGATGTCTTCACAAGAGCAGTCCTGGGGGCTAATCCTGAGCTTGGAATCAGGCTTCAGAACACTCTCCAACCCTCCTAGGGAGACTTCCATAAGTATCCAATATGCTGTGAATAGATTTTGCTTGTTTGCTTGTTTTGCTTAAGTTAGGCAAAGTTGGTTTCTGTTGATCGTCACTTAGAATCCCTACTGAAGATTGTTGTCTTAAGATGCTATGAGGTTTAGCCCCATTCCTAGCAAGTTGCACACTAACCATTACTTCCGTGTGTGTTGAGGTGGGGGGGTGAGTGTCAGCCACAACCACCATGTATGGATACCCACCAGGTGGCATGCCTTATGTCATGCACCTTTGTTCAATGTGAGCCTCTGTGAGGTCTCTTATGTCCAGATGAGGGATCTGAGACCTACTAGGATGCCTGAGTTTGCCCGAGGTCACACGGTTCATAGAGCTATGATCCCATCTCCAGACGGAGAGCCTCAGCATTTTCTACTCTGCAACTCTGCCTCCCCAGCTGAATGATTCCCTTCCATCCTTCCTTGCATGTTTTCTTCGTCCCTTCCTTTGCTGCTTTTTTATTTTTTTGTCACCGACCATTTAGTCGGGCTAATGTTTTCGCTGGCTTTGGTAACACCAGTGTGAGGGTGGGTGACAGATTTATGGTGGCATTCTCGTTCACTTCGCAGGAGCCCACACATCCGGAAGTATTCCCAAGGTGCCGATGTGTTATTATGCAACACCCTGGGACTTCCCTTTCCCACTTTCCCACCCCCAGAGCCCTCATCCCCAACACATAATAAGTTGCTTGTGAAAAGGAACACCACCCACAAGACCTCTTAGGCAATGAGGCTACATCCCCAGCAATGTGGAACTTATCTTGTCCTTTTCCCCCCTTTATAAAATATAACATACACCAGGCCTGAAGCTTCAGCTAAAAAATGTGGTATCAGTGAAATGATAACTCCCCACACCCCATCCCAACAGGCTCTGGCTGGAGGCATTGTTCGCAGCGTTGGGAATTCTGTTTCTAAAGCACTGAGTCATAAACTACAGACAGGCTGCTGATAAAAGCTGAAGGAGGGAAGGTAATGGTCAAATTAGTCAGACAAAATGTGAAGCATCCCCAAAAGGGGTTATACTCAGTAATATATCTTGAGCGGGTGCTGGAAATGTGCTACCTTCGGAGATGGTGTTTAATCCATTACAGGAGATGCGATTGTGGGGGACTTCTCATGCTGTGTTGATTTAGCACCCTGTGTCTTTCAGGAGAGCTGGGTCCAGGTCTTAGCTCAGACTTGAGAGCCTGGGTTGCAGCTTTGCCTCTCACCTCGGAGCCTCAGTTTCCCTCTTCGTGAAATGAGAGCGATCGTGCTGAGGGCCCTAAGACTTCTTTCCCTGATAGTGAGGAATCCTCCATCTGTCAGGCATCCATTTAAGGGCTTTGGGGTTTCAAATCCTGCTTGATGCTGATATATAGTTAAGAAAACAAAGCAAACGGACCCCCACGTTGTCTTTCCCAGACACACACACACATACT